ACAAGAACCTACTCACTGCTTTGTTGGAGGTCCTGTGGTGGACATGGGACATCCCCTGCTGGTGGTACTGTTCTGTTGTAAAGAAGTTTTGGATTAAAATTTCTAAATCTATCAGAAACATTACTGGGTACTATATACTTCTTTCATCAGAAGTTTATTTGCTTGACCTTTGGAAAAACCCTAAAATCCCCAAAATAAGGCAAGAGCTTATCTCAATATTTTTAACAGCTGCTAAGACAATTATCGCTAACACTTGGGAAAGCAATAACACATTAGCCCTTTCACAATGGTATGCCAAATTATGGGAATAGTATTCCATGGACAAGATCTCGGAAAAGGTATCATATTTTCCTAATCCTAATAATTTTCAAGACTTCCAAACAAAATGGTTTCCATTTTTAGAACATGTATTCTGCAATGACATCCCATCTTCTTTTAATGTTCCACACAAATTTTATGATGTATTACACTCTTTGTGATGCAGTTTGACTTAATACTTGAATGTTACGATGGTCTGCTTAACCATGTATCAAGTTCTGTAAAGGTTTAACTTACTACTTTTCACAATGTGGCTTTGTTATTGTTTTGTTGTTGTTCATTGTTAGTTTGAAAATGAATAAAAATTTCTTAATAATAAAAAAGTCCAAATAGCAGAAAAGTCAACTCACGTGAGAGCCTCACCCATTCCAATTTGGACATTCCTTCACAGATGGTCAGTATTCAGCAGATCAGGCCCCCAGAGCTGAATTTAAGATTGCAGTTCTAAGCAGAGTTATACCTGGGCTTGGGGGCATACTGCACACTGTTAGTGCCCTGGAGCTCCCTGCCCTCCGGCTCCCATAGGTAATCACTTAGGGCCACCTGGTGGGCAGTCTGCCCCTGGTTGTTCATCCAGGTCTAGAAATTGCTGTTGTCGTCTGCTGTTTTTGTTTGGGGCAGAATCAACCCTCCTTTGCTCAGGCTTAGAATCAAGAGGCCATGACTCATAATGTTGGTGTTGTGGGGAGGATGGAGTTCGCTGATACCTCTGCTCCAGGAAGACATTAAAGTTCCCTTTGCTGGTGCGTCCATTGTAGCAGGGAATGTGGCACCATTTTAAGCAGTTAGTGACTATCCAAAGGTCCAGGGGAAGCTCTGGGGTGACATTAGTGGAGAAGAAGGTTTGCCCGTTGGTTGAGAGGTTAGGGAGCTACAGGAGATGGATGGAGGAATCTCTGAAGCATGTGTATTTTTTTCCCTCTGTGTGTGTGTGTGTGTGTGTGTTTGAGCAACAGATGCAAGTAATAAGAGATTGGTGGGTAGCTCTTTAGGACAACCGGAAATGAGGGCTCTATGCAAGATATTCTGCTGCAGATCATGTAGCTCTAAGAACATAAGAGAAACCAATGTTGGATCAGACCAATGGCCCATCCAGTCCAACACTCTGTGTCACACAATGGCCAAAAATACTAGGTGCCATCAGGAGGTCCATCAGTGGGGCCGGGATGCTAGAAGTCCTCCCACTGATTGCCGCCCCCCCCCCAAGCACCAAGAATATAGAGCATGACTTGCCCCAGACTGAGAGTTCATATCTATACCTTGTGGCGATTAGCCACTGATGGACCTCTGCTCCATATGTTCATCCAATTTCCTCTTGAAGCCGTCCATGCTAGTAGCTGCCACCACCTCCTCTGAAATGGCTTCACTGTGCCTGCTGATGTCATTCACTCCTGAAGAAGTTCTCCCATTTTATGAAAATCCAGCCCTGGTCTTTGAGTTGGACGCACAGTAAAAGGAGTTAGAATGCACCAACCTCCAGGATATGAAGGGGAGGTCTTCCCAATTTGGCCCATGGCAGTTATTGACTTTTCTTTCTTTCCCCTTCTTTAGGATGTCCGAAGCACCTTGCAGAGGTAAGTGGATCCATCTCTCTTATTACTCTCCTGATGCTGAGATGGATGTGGGTAGTGTGTGAAGAAAGTGGCCTTTCAGGCTCAGGACAACAGCAGATGTGACTAGGATCACAGATCTCCATCCGTTTGCAAATGGCAAACTGCGAATGAACACCGTCACCTGGACAGAAAATCGTGCCCACAAACAGCACGGTGTGTATGTCAGGGTTAAGACCTGGCTGTGCATCTCCAGAAGGTTCTGGCAGAATTCTGGTGCTGAAGCGGGGGGGGGTTTCACTTGGAAATGCACCGGTTGAGTTTAGTCACTTCAGCTCTTTAGTTCCACAAAATGGCAGGTGGTAAATGTGATTGGGCTTTTGTTTTGTTTTGATTGGCATCTGGGCTGCCTAGAGGGTCACTTGAGCAATGCGCAGGTTGAGTTTGGCATCTAAGCTGCCTTGAGGGTCACTTGAGCATCTAGCTCTGTGATGACGGCTCTCCCCAATCTGGGGTGCACCATCTGTGAGGGAGGCTACTCATGAGGAAGCAGAAGTCGCTTAGACTAGACTAGAGGATTTCACGGCTGCTGATTGGAAACTTTGCCCCTCTGCTGTACATTTCCCCAGACACTTTTAGAGGAAGAAGGAGCATGATGTGACATCATCAGGCTTGAAGTTTCCATGCCTCACACCAGTTGCAGGCGATTGAAAGGAGTGGAAGGATGCTTCTGAGGGCAGATATGTCATGTGACGTGCTGCAGGGTTGCATATTCCTGCCTTTGCTCTGCTGGTGGGAATTCTGGATTGGATGGATGGTGGCTTAACATGGTTTGTTTCCAGGTATGAAGAAAAGGAGAGGTTTGAGAATCCAATGACTGTTCCTCTTGCATTGAAGTGGAGGATCTGGGACTTCTGTGATGTCAATCACTTGCTGGAAGGTGTCATGAAGCAGTTGAACGGTAATAAAGGACAGCTTCAGAGAGGTCATTAGGTGAGGCCAGATGAGTGTGGAACCTTCCAGGTCTCTTGTATCACTCGCAGGGCCAGGTGGGCAGGGAATTCGTATGAGACGTGCAGTGATGGTCTCCTTCCTTTCATTCTCTAATCTGGACAAGAACACTCAAATTGTGTCCCCTCCTATCCTGTCGCTCTCCAGTCTGTTCTGCCCTTCTCCCCACAATCCTTTAAGGTGGGTATTTTCTCTAACTGGTAATTGACTAATTACTAACACAGGTTAACAGTATAAAAATCTGTTTCTCTGATTTAGAATTGTCATTTTTTAAAAAGACAAGATTTTTTTAAAAATTCATTGCATAGATATAAGGGGAAATGTGCAGCCTGACCCTTTAAGAATTCTAATAGCTCGAGCACAATAAAATTATAATGACCCACTGCCATGATTTTTAAAATAAAAAGTCTCTAGCCCTTTTTTTTGTGTGTTTTCATATTTTTGTATTTTACATGTGCATGTGTGTGAGAGTGTGTGTACCTGGAAGTCATGGTGACTTCTGGTGACTGACCCTGACTGGGGCCTGGAGGATATTCAGAGAGGGGGCTGAATAAAGCCTGCCCCTGCCTCCCGACTGCTGGTATTCCAAGGAGGTCTCCCACCCAAGTCCTTGCCAGACTCGACCGCTCTTAGCTTCCAAGATCTGAGAAAATCAGGTTTTCCTGGGCTTTCCAGGTTAGGGTGTTTGTAGCCCTTTTCTTGGCAGAGAAATAAGGGATTCACCTTCCTTTTTGTATCTCCGCAACAAGAAAGTTTGGACACTTTTAAAAATAAAAGCTGGGAATTCGGAGGAACTACCAGTAAAATAGAAAGTAGTGTGTGTGGGGAGGGAATAGCAGCCACTGGGAGGAGGCGGCGGCAAGGAAAAGGTGGGGCATACAGAAATTCACACTTTTCTATCCACACAGCAAGGAAGAATACCTTTGACTGCCATCATTCCAAAAAGATTGTATTAAACAGGGTTTGGGAAAGTGCAGAGAAAAGGAGTGGAAACCCCAGACAGTGGAGGCTTAGGTGACAACGTTGTGTGGGTCTCTCCAAAAGCCCACTCCAGTTTTGATATCAAACCAGAACAAAATCTCTGGGGAAACATCCCATGCTTTTGTGGATTGGGTCCTTGGGCTGCAGTCCTTAGCATACTTTTTGTGAAGCGTGTCTGAAGCAACTCACAGCAGTTGACTTCTGGATAACCATGTTCAGGATCACTCTTTGTCTCCTTTGGTGGTTAAGTGTCAGTTTGCCAAATCTGATCCATTTTTCCTTTCCGGTCTCAGTCCAACATCAGCCATAATTAGGAACAGGGAGCAAACTCTTCATATTAAGTGTAAACAAATTCGAATATTTACACACCAGCAAAATTTGGGGGAGAATTCATTCCTGAAGTGGCTGCTACTTAACCCTTCAGCTAAAACTGAGAAAAAATGTTAACTGATTGTCCGCTTGTTTTCTGTTCCATTCACTTCCTCAGACAATCTGGATTCTGGACTTCACCTGCAGAAAGGTACATTTCTTGCACGATTCAGTTATTTCTAAACTAAAAGGCTTCCCCTCGCACACTGTGTTCTTCTACTCGGTGTTTCTCCAGGGTTATGTTTCCTTGGACTTTCCCCTCCAAACCTCTGAATGTGGAGGTTTGCTTTAATCATCAGAACTAGTAGCCACGGACAGACTTCTCCTCCATGATGATAGATCCAGGTGGGCAGCCGTGTTGGTCTGTAGCAATAGAACAAAGTTAGAGTCCAGTGGCACCTTTAAGGACCAGCAAAGTTTTATTCAAGGTATGAGCTTAAAGGTGCCACTAGACTCTAACTTTGTTCCCTCCTCCATGAATCTGTCTAATCCCCCTTTTAAAGCTGTCTATGCCTGTGACCATCACTACAGCCTCTGGCAGCAAATTCCGCATTTTACTCACTAGCTGAGTAAAGTATTTCCTTTTGTCCCGTCAACTGTAATATTGTCCTGAAGCCTCTGCTTCTCCTCTAGAAGTCCCAGGTATCTGGTTCATGAACAGAGTTTCCAGGGAATGTAGATCCCACTCTCCTTCCATCCCCCCAGTTCTCTATGCTGTGATGCACAGAAAGTATTATGGGGGGGTGTTTTTGGTTTTGCTTTCTGAGAGACACCTGGAATGACAGGAAAGGAGGGATATATACATTTGAAAACAAATAATTACAGGTTGGTTTAGAGTTTGGAGGAGGATATTTTCCGTGAGTCCTTCATCAACTTGCTCTTAGCTGTTGCTGAGATTTCAGGCGCATTCCAATCATAGATGGAGAAATTCTGGCCAAAGGAGAAGAACCTCCAAATCCTGAACCGTCGTCCTTGGAATTCCTAATGATTTGAGCAGAAGTGTCATTCTTTGGGGTACATCTAGGATTAGGACTAGAACCACTTTGGAACTTCAACCCATTCTTTCATTGGCTCACTTTCATGTGATCAGGTTGTTTTATGTTAAGTGCTCTTCCATGTATGATTCTTCACTTTGTTCCTAATGGTGGATGCTTCTCTGTCAGAGTGCTTCTCGGATAGAGGATAACGGGGGACAGGCTTTATTCGCATGGGTTCTCACTGTCTCTCCGAGCCCAGGAAAGCCTGTTCTTCCTTCCATAGGTCAGGGGAAGGAAGGAGAGCCTGTGCAAGTCCAGCCAAGGGTTAAAACTAAGAAGAAAAAAGGGAAACAGAATAAGCCACAGTGGGGGAAATGTCTAAACAACCAACCAGGTCAGGGAGATCCACAGGGAACGGACATACCTGGGACACTAACAATAGCGTCAGGTGGGGGTGGCAAACAACCCGACCATTTGTCCCCCTGCTGAATCTGCTTCATTTCTGTCTCCTCCCCCTCCCTCCCCAACAGCAAATGTGATTCTTGATGCAGACACAGCTCATCTCAAACTCATCCTGTCTGAGGATCGGAATAGTGTGAGACGAGGAGAAAAGGCTCAAGATCTGCCCAACAGTCCTGAGAGATTTAACATATATTCCTGTGTCCTGGGCCGTGAGGGATTCACAGCAGGCCGCCATTTCTGGGAAGTCCTTGTGGGAAGCGAGGAAGAATGGACAGTGGGGGTGGCCAGAAAGTCTGTGAGGAGGAAGGGAGCATTATTCTTTACTCCTGAAGGAGGGATCTGGGAGGTGGGGAAGTGGGGGGGCAGTTACAAGGCTTCTGAAAATGACCATGATCCTCCGCTGACCCTGAGTGGGGAGCTCAAGAGGATCCGAGTGTGCCTGAACTACACTGCAGGGAGAGTGGCCTTTTTCGACGCTGACCAAGCAGCCCTTCTGTACGAGTTCACTGGAGCCTCCTTCTCAGGAGAAACCCTCCTGCCCTCCTTTTGGGTACATTCAAAAGGCGACCTCCAACTCTGTTAAGGCAGTCATTTCACACCGGTGCCATTATTAAAAATATTAGATGACTATTTTATAGCTATGCAAAGGTCTTCTCCAGGGTCCCAATCAGCAAAACTGATAAATAAAGTTGAGTCTGTTTTCCCCTCCATTTCCCAGCATTCCCTCTTACTTTTGTAGCTGATTTCAGATAGAGACAATGCCCCAGCTCATTCTTTCTTACTTCTGGAGGGAAAACTGGATATTTGGAAATCATTTGTCAGATATCCCACACCCTTTCAAGTTTTGTTCAAGACAGCTGTGGGGCAGATGTGGAATGGGGGAGCAGTGCCAGTGGAGGGTGAGTTTAAACCCCCTCCCCTTCTGATATAAAGTTTCCTCCTTTGGCCACCGTACATTGCATGTGGGGGGGCAGTTTTCAATGTGTTGAGATGCCTGTTTGTATTAAAGGCTTCTCTTCCTGTTGTTTCATTTGAAAAAATACTTGTGGGAGGGAGTCCTCAGAAAGCTGGGGAACATGGACAGATACATCACAGCAAGTGACACAAGTTAATGGAAAAGAAGGCATCCATGAGTTTGTTGGGGGGCGTACAAGATACACTCCAGAGCCGCTGATTTCAGGAGGGGTGTTGAAAGACCTGAGTCAGATTGAGGTGACAAGAGAGGAGGTCCTACAACTGATAGACAACTTAAAAACTGATAAATCACCAGGCCCGGATGGCATACCTTCGAGAGTTCTGAAGGAACTCAGATGTAAACTTGTGGATCTCCTGACAAAAATATGTAATCTTTCCTTAAAATCTGCCTCCATTCCTGAGGACTGGAAGGTAGCTAATGACACTCTCATCTTTAAAAAGGGTTACAGAGGAGACCAGAAGAACAAGAACAGGCTCAGAAGCGTCTGCAGCCGCAGCAGCAAGACCGAGGACAGCTTCAACCACAACACCAAAAATGTCAACCAAAGAAAAGAAGGAGTGGCAAGCTACGATGGAAGCAATGGAGAAGAGGATGACTGATGCGATTCAGGCGATGGGAACTCAGAAGGACAGCATTTAGAGAAGCAAATAGAAAAGCAAACTCAAGCACATTTAAAGCAATTGGAAGAGGCCCAAGAAAAAAACATTGCCGCATTAAAAGAGCTGGTGACAACAGAAATAACGTCGATTAAGCAAGAAGTAGAAGGAGCCAACAAGGCTATACAAGGTATGGCAACCAAATTAACGGAGATGGAAGAGAAAATACAAGAAGCAGAGAAGAAACATGACACCCTGGCACAGCAATTTAGAAGATCAGAAGTAATGACAGAATTTAGACGAATGCAAACCCATCTGAGATTCAGGGGAATAGCCGAGAAAGAAGAGGAGAACATCAGAGAGACAATGATGAAGGCTATAACATCATACTTAGAGGAAGATGATGGGGATATGGACAGAGAATTTGACTTAATCTATAGAGTGAATTCTAGAATTGCAGAAAAGAAGAACTTACCAAGAGATGTCATTGTGCAATTTTTAACCAGAAAGACTGAAGATATTTTTAAGAAACAATTTACGGATCCGCTGGTGATAGAAGGCAACAAAATTATGATAATGAGAGAACTCCCAAGAACAGTTTTGCAAGACAGAAGAAGATATAAGGCATTAGCAGACAAACTGAAGACCATGAACATCAAATTCAGATGGGAGATTCCACAAGGGTTGTCCTTCAACTACAAAGGGGGAAGAATTGTCATCAGGTCGGCGGAGGATATGTATAAATTTAAGTCGGACAATTTAGATGACTTTGGAGAATTATAATCAACTGCATAATGGAAGTCAAGCTGTTGTCATGGAATGTTAATGGACTTAATTCACCGAACAAGAGAAATAGAGTTAAGTGTTGGACACAAAACCAAAAATGCAACGTGATATGCTTGCAAGAAACTCATATTAAAAGACAGAATGCAAATTTATTGACAAGTAAAATATTTGGAGAAGAATTTTATTCTCTGGCTGTAAATAAGAAGAAAGGAGTTGTGACTTATGTCAAGACAGCACTACAACCGAAAGAAATTTTCAAAGACTCTGAGGGAAGATACGTAGGGGTGGAGATTTTAGAACAACAGAAGAAAATACTGGTAGTAAATGTCTACGCACCTAATGGAGCAAAAGAAAATTTCTTTAAAGACTTGATAGAACAACTGCAGCAGCAAACTTAAGAACAAGTGATTCTGGCTGGAGACTTTAATGGTACAGTTAATATTTTGGACAGGCAATCGCAAAAGGGATGCGAAAATAGTGGTAAATTGCCTAGGACTTTCTTTGATTTGACAAAACAAGAGAAACTGGAAGATGTATGGAGAAAATGGAACCCGACAAAAAAGGAGAGTTCTGAAGGAACTCAGATGCGAACTTGTGGATCTCCT